CCGTTGAGGTTGTCCTCCATTCTCCTCAATGCATGGAACCTGCCCACGACGTTCGGGAACATCGCCAAGTACCGCATGTGTTTGACCATCTGGACCGCCTCCTCGTGCTCGATGGGCTGGGCATACATACATACATACATACATACATACATACATACATACATATACCTACACTGACATACACCCACAGAAAAGATCCTTCAAAGGCCCCGCATGACCGCCCATAAGAAACCCTCAGAAAAGGTGTTCAGAAGGCTAGAAGGGACAGGGCACGACATCAATTTTCGAGAACTCGAGGGGAACTGTCTCTGCAATGCTCCTGCAAGGCTGAGTTCTTCGCGCGTTTCGAGGCAAAGCGCTTCGTGCCACGGTGAGTACCTGCGCCGTGGGAGGTCAGAAGTGCAGAGAGAGAGAGACAGGGAGAGAGGGGGGAGAGGGAGAGGGAGAGCGAGAGAGAGAGGGAAATTTTTCTCTCAGCAGCACACCGGCGTCCCAAGAGCCACTCCTTGGTGCGCAACACACGAAGTGAGAAATGCTGTACAACTCCAACGCCTGCAAAAAGGGCAAACCCGAGGGAAGAGATACTGGCATGATCTCCGTACCACATGTCATGTCATGGAATTGGCAATAAAAGACTTTCAGTACTGACACTGTCTGCTTTGCAGTACAAGCTGCTGTCTCTTCATACGCCCTCGCGGAGGGCCTGAGCAACGAAACAGGCCCACCAGGTGACTCGACGCTCGGAACACAGTAGAAGCAGAAAAGACTCGATGCGCGTGCCTCTGTGCGCACGATGCTACATTACGGCTCTTGTGATCTATTGTGCTGCAGCACAACTTACTGTGCTCAATGTTTCTTGCTTGGAGCAGCTTGGAGCAAGACCTGCGAGGCTCTCACACGAGCTGCCAAAGCCGTAAGGTCATCCTAGACCGGTCGGAGCCATTTCAAGCTGGCGAAGACACGTCAGGTTTCAAAATGGGGAGTGAGAGAGAGGCAATCAAGGTGGAAGCTTGGAGCCTCCGTGAAACTGGCAGACGCTTGCGCGATCTAAACCTGGGGCAGCTTGCACAGTGCCGAAACATGAGTAATTGCTACAATGCACTGCAACGGACAGAGATTTCCTCAACAACTCCCAGGTGTTGACTGCTTCGTTCGATTCCGACACATCCTGATCTTTTTTCGGCTGGGGAGTGGACGGAGCTACTTCGAGCATGAACGAATTACGGCGAAGGCTTCTTCGCACGCCTGGAATTTGTAGCATCGAGTGCTGAATCCAAAAGAAATCTTTGTCTGACGGGGTGCGACATCGAACAACCTACCAAGTAAACCTAGATGTTACGCTTTTGCTGCCATGCAGCAGACTGTTGATCCAATGTGCTACTTTCATTTCTGAAAACTGCCGGTGGTTCGCGGTCAACGTACCAAACATGAAGCTACGATAGCACACTCCTTTTGCATGAGAAAGCTTGGAGGCTGGGATGTGGAGGCCGGTGCAGGCATGTATCTTCTAGCTGTCTCTGCAAGGAGACTCTCACATGACTGCTCCCTGCTACGGTCGGCTCATTTGGGGCCAATTCAAAATTACCACTAGCATCCTCCACCGCAAATACATTACAAAACCAGGCCCGCAGAAAGCATGGATCTGCGTGCGAGATCCACAGATCTGAATTTCCTGTGCTTGGGTCAACACAGGAGCCAGATGTCCTGCCTGCCGAGCTGCCGAATCATGTAGTGCACTCGACAGGCAGTTAAAATGAACGAAGATGAAGCCAAACCATTCAGTCTGAAAGCTTAAGTAGTCTGGTTAGGAAAGATCGGGGTTCCACCTCCTCTGCGGAAGCTCGCTCCAATTATGCATGAAGAGGAAATTTACACTGCCAAAAGGCTCAGACAATGCATTGGGGACCACGAGAGTTGTTTCCGTAGAAACTTGTTGCAGTGGCCAGAACGCATTTTCCCATCTTGTCTGCGGTCTCTCCGAACAGTGCCACTACCTACTAAAGATGTCCAGAGCTCCCACAGGCATTTTACCTGCGGATGGGAAGCATTTCTTGGGTGTGTCACAGTCAGTCCTTTTGCACCTTTGGCTCTTGCAGAGTTTGGGAAAGCAGCAATATGGATATCAGCCGTGGTCCCCAATGCATCAGAAAAGATTCCATGGTAGGTTCTGGATGTGTGAAACAACCTCGGTGCCAGCGCAACTCAGCAGAGCTTGGTGGAACTTGTGTAGCAAGTGTCGGCAGTCGCGAGTGTGATAGTTCTTCTACACAACATCTGCAACTGCCAGCTCGAGGATTCGCAGGTTTGCTAGCATGGGTTTACTTCTCGACTTAGACTATGCACATGTTCACTGCCCCGGCAAATACCACGAAGATGCTTTCACCTAGATCTTGTGCACAACCGTCTCTCAGCCTCCAGCTGAAATCCTCGATTCCGAAACAATGTCCGGCGTGACCGTCGCCATCATTCGGGGCCCTGCAACAAGTCTTAGGTCGGGCCATGAGGTGTCCCTAAAGTCCGAAGAGACACAGGGTCCGCTGGAAGTGAAGGATGCATCAACCGCACAACCTGGACATGCCAGAAAGGGTAAGGAGAGTGGCATGAAGAAGGATGCACCTTCTCAGAAGCGCCGCGCCCAGATGGCCTCTACACCTGTCAGAATCATGAACCATATCACCGAATCTTCGCAAAGCCGACGGCGACCTAGGAGACAATCGATACGCCCAAGGTTAGACCCATGTAATTCCCGACTCCTTTCCTGCATGATGCCTGCTCTTTCAATAACAGTTTTGCTGACTGCCCTTTTTCTGCGCTGCCTTGCATGATGCTAGCCGAGATTTGGGTATGAGATTTGTGTTTGAGCAGGGTCGCATGTTGGACAAGGATTGGCTTGTTCTTGGGCTGTCCTTCGTGGGAGACATGGCAATCAAACGCACCCAAAGTTGAGGCAGCGCCAGACCACTTCTACGGTAAGACCGACAACGACAAACGACTACGATAGCTTGGGCTGATCCGAGTCTGACTTTATCGGCTGCATTCCAAACACTATCTTCTTGGTCGCATCGCTACTAGAAATATGTACAACACTGTTACCCCTGCTACTGATTTTTTGACGGCTGCTTGACTTCGTCGCAATGCAGTATTACGAGGTTGCTGGTGATGACAAGAACTACCAAGAATTGCGACGTCTATTCTTTATGTGATGGTATCATCTAGAAAAAGCTTGTAGCCGGTAGCAGTTGCACCAGTAACAGATGCATCGTCATGCAGGATGTCAATGCACCCCTAAGCCGAAGCTCTGCTCACTGGTTGAACATTTCTAATCCGTCACAACATGTACATGCAGATGGTGCAGATGAACATCAGAATGTGTAACCCTTCGGAACTCTTTTGCAATGGGTACCAGCAACAATAAGGCTAGCTCCCAGAGAACCACTGGCCGAACAGCAGCAACAAGCAGTGAATGTGGCAATGATAGTAGCCGAAGATAGGGCTGCTGCCGAGCGTGTTACATAGTGACCATAAATTGTGTGTGGTAGCGTGAGGGCATTCAAAGCAATCTGCAATGAAGTCAACCGCGTTTAGATCATTTGTGCCCAAAATTCCACAACGTTTTCATCACACTCATTAGATGTCCAGACTGCGAATCACTGACTGCAGAACGGCCGGCACATGCTTGCAAAGCGTGAACGCATCTTTTGCTGGCTAACCGAGAGCCGCGTGTGGCTGCGACATGTTGACATGTCATGCGTCTGTGCAAGCAGTCCTAACAAAATGCAACGTGTTCACCGACATGTGACAGGTCAGGCCCTTACTGCACAACTTTCACACTGGTACTACTATTCTTCTGACCTGTCAATGTTGGTCTCTTCTTCAAGGCTTTCTCGTGAAAGAGGAGGTCATCCTTAAGTTGCTCACGAATGTCGGCACCCCTAGCACCCTTCGTCAGGCCGTCAACAACCTGGCACCTAGTGGAAACCCATAATGACCTGGCCTCTCCCCCTTCTCCACGAGTGGACAAAAGCTGACGCAAAAGAACTGCGTGCACGATGTCTCCCTTCTCACCGACATGTTGTCCGTCCTTGTGCACCGTATCGTATATACTCTTACCTTACAGTCGGTGACCAGAGTAAAAGGGCAGAGATCTTGCCATCCATCATCCTCAATCGCGGATATAACTTCAGACCCATATCTGATCTCAGCAAGAAGAACTTGAGCGAAGCAAGACATGTTATGACCCATAAGAGCTCCGTGAGTCTCAGCAGCGAATGAGGATTCAATGACGCGTCGGTTCGTTGAGGATTTCCAATCGATCAGGTTGCAATGAGCTCGCTGCTCGTGTTCCGTAGCTCCCCATTTAACAAAACCGACACACACACACACACCTTTCTGGGAGTAGACAAGCTTATGCTCAGTCCCATTCTGCAGGATATCTTCACACTCTCTTTCATCAATCCCAACACCGAGGCTACTATACAATCCAGCGTCGTGGAATGTCACAATTTCGGCGTCTGGTCCCAAAGGACGGAAGAGAATCTCACACCGATGTTTGATGGCATCTTTAACAGCTCGATTCGCGCGATGCAGGTCTCGCACTCTCAGGTCGCTGACTCTCTTCTGCAACTGGTTGCACTCAAAAGCCAAATCAGGTCTACTCTGAACAGCCAACCACTGAAGACTACCACCCAAAGTCACGCAAGTCTCTCCGTCTCGGATCACGACCTTGATTTCTTTACCACAGTAGCAAACTCCAGCCTCTTCCTTGGCGACTTGATTCCAGGCAAAAGGGAACGGCTTGTGAAGCTTCTCAGCCGCTTCGATCCCGGCACTGCTCCCGTCATGACATATCATCACATCATCGACATGAACCATCACCTGGCGCGAAGTCTACCTTGATAGTCACGTAGAAAGAACAGTGCAGGATCCACATGGGATTTGCAGAACCCAAGCTCGGCCTCCAGAATCCTCGATAACTCGTTATACCAGGCTCTTGGAGCGTCGGGACGCCCGTATACTGGCTTCATGAAGACCTTTGAGTCCTTGCTTCGGCTGCCGCATGAACATATCGGGCTTGTTATCCAACGGAGCCCCCTGAAGAAAGGCATTGGAGATATCCCCGATAAGCCAATCTTTAGGCCAACCATAACTCGTGACGAGATGAAGAAATATCATCGTCGAAACTCTCTCTCTATGGTAGGGCGGCTATCGACTTGGACTTGCCCGGACTTGCTGTCGGGACACAGGTGTCCCTGGAGACACAGTCTTGCCTTGGCCTTCACGGGTAAGTCGTTGTCAAAAGGATCCTTCAGACCAGCATTCTTATTCCTGAACACATATCGGCTGGGCAAGACTCCATCGGGTCGCTCGGCTTCGACTCTTCTACTTTCCTCCAATGACAACACCTCACAGCTGTTGTAGTCTAGCCCATGACTGCCACTCCTTGTCCTCAGCGGCCCTGTAGAGCTCCCTCTCTTCAGAGGGAATCAGATCGAAAGGAATTTCCTTCTCCTTCATGCGTTTCAACTTGTTCTTACTCTGAGTTTTCTCACCGCCATGAAAGGTAGCATGGACTTCCTGAGAGGGCCCTGGAGTCTTACGCCTTTTCACATGATGAGGAACGTCGTCGAGGCAGGTTTCTTTTCGAGTCCTGCTTTGAAACACCGTGATCAGAATTCCAGCTGGACCGTTTGGAATAAACTGATGATGATCAGCCAGATCCCCCCAGTTAACCTCATTCTCAAGCTGATGCCACTCCCTGAGATGTATCCCCATGTGGTCCTCCATGGAAATCTATCAGCTTGATATCGAGGTTCAGGTCCCCGAAAAGCCCACGCTTTGTGACTGACAAGCACAGGATTGCTCCTACTGTCCACATGCCATCCGATATGAGCTTTCAAGCGGTGGTACTCTGAAGGAAGACCCTCACTCGAATCATCATCGATATCCATGTCTTCACTCACATCTTGGGCGAGGGGCTCTTGCTCAACGTGTTGTGGTTCACTCTCGGGATCCGCTTGGCCAAGGAGGTCTTCATAGGTGGCCTCTTTGGGAATCTTCTTGAAAAGAGCCAAGGCCTTCTGGAGTTCAGGATCCCCATAATGCTGCTCATCTCCTATGGCTTCCTTAAGGTGTTCACCAGCCACCAAGAAACACCTGCCACCACATGTCACCCAGGCGTTGCGGTCCTGAATTCCCACAACATAGCCAGGACCTACCCATTTACTCTGACTCGCCCGCTTCTTGCTGTTCTCGGCTCTCCAAAAGAAGACAAGCTGACCTATCTTCGGAATGGGGAGCCGCCGAGTCCTGTTATGGGCAGTGCGTAGCAGCATCTGACGCGCCTGGCTCTTGACAAACTCAAGCTTAGCATGATACCTGAATCTCATCCGGACGGCAACACTTCCTGGATCTCCCACTGAAGGATGATACGAAGTAGGATTCCCCTGTGAATGAAGCTCTCCGAAGACTCGAGGCTCCCGTCCGAACACCAAAGCAACTGGTGACCAGCCATGTTCACGGACCAATGAGTTCTTAGCCCAAGCAACTTCACGAGCCATTTTACGCATATCGTCTCTACCTTTAACTTGAGTGTGACGAATGGTCTTGTGAAGCATGTCTTTGATGGTCTGGTTGTGCCTGTCAACCTTCCCTGCTTGCCAATGTGCTGTCCCAGCAATTGAACTTAGAGCGGTGCCCGCGTTCCCAACATCAATCCAGAAATCCCGTCCTTGAAAACCACCCTCAAGGTCCGTAGTGGCACGCAAAGGTGGACCGGCCCACTTCATCCACCCTCTGTCGAAGGCGCGATAAAGTTCTGCTGGAGAGTGGTCTCTAAGCAATTCGATCACATGGTACGATGTGGCTCGGTCGATGACCGAAAGAGACCAATGGCTTTCTCTCGCCGCATCGTGAACACATATGCAGTCCAGCTGAACTTCATCACCAAACGTGATCTGCAATGGAGGGATACTGGACACCCTATGAGTGCTGGGCCGATGCGCATGAGCACAAGTAGAGCATCTTAACCAACTAACCGCCTCCACGACTTCCTGTTTCGTGCCACCTAACTTGAGAAATCTTGCAGATCTGTCTGGGACGGATGTCCTAAATTACAATGCGCCTTTATCAGTCCGTGCTTGACGGACTCCTGAAGATGTCGTCCAGGCGGCACCTCGAAGCAAATGCCGTTACTCGACAAACCAGATCGCACTGCTTGTCGCGGAGGGGCCAGCCGCTCCACAGCCACATCACCTGACGACGTCGAGGAGCGGGGATTAGGCTCCTCCAAGACAGGAATCATCTCTTCATCGTCGTCGTCATGTCCCTCTGTCTCCTCTCCCTCTCGCGCAAACACTGCACTCCACTTCTCAAGCGAACGCATGACCATCTTTTCACTCCACCTGAGATCAGTGATGGACCTGTCTCCAGAGTGCAGACGATTCCGGGTGCGTGCGGCCAGACTGCGAAGCAGCCTTCGGATCCGACCAGGATCACTTTCCTTCAGATCTAGAATAAAACCCTTGCACACCGCACGTCCGAAATCGCGCTTCCTTTGTTCAGCTGGAACGCGAGGATCCAATCGCGCTTGTCCGTTTTGCCGTTGAGCTCTGCTCTTCTCAATCTGATGGTAAATGTTGCTAGAACTCACGGCCCAAATACTGTTTCGACAATCCTGTTCTCTCAAACCCCATCCATGCACACATTGCACCTGAGGGTGCCGAAGCATGTTATCGGCAAGTGATTTCACACCCCAATGTTCTCCAAACGGCATTTCGGCCATAGCATGATCACCACGCTTCAGCTGACGATCAAAAACATCTTGGATGAAGCTCACAACTCGATCTGTCTCTCTCTCCATCTCCGTTCTCGTCTCTGAGCTTGTGACATGCTTCGATGCATAGCATAGACTGGTGGCCGAAACGGCCATTGCATCAGACGATCCCGACCATCTTCGTCACTCAGGTCACCTCTAACATCAATGGGGTCATGCACGCTAAGTCCCCATCGGGAGAAGTTCGAAGACATCTGTGCACTATCTTCAAATTTCTCAAGAACATCGGGTCGCTTCTGATTGCCAAAAGGCACCGCCTGAAGGGCGGCACCCGCCATTGCAACAGTGCTGATAAAAATCCCTGCTGCCACTGCCCTTGTGTTCCCAAGGAGCCTCTTGACGGTACCCTGCTTCATGTAGGCCCTACGAGCATTACCCTCCTTGATCCTACGCCGAATGGTACCGGCATCCAAGGTTTCCTTGGTACCGACTGTCTCCGCAGTCGATTCCGGGGCATTCACAGCAGTTGAACTCACTTGCTCACCGGTGGATCCACCTTGGACGCTGCGGCCTTCTCCTTTCTCATCTTCGTGATCGCCTCGAGCTCGTCCGCGGTGAGGTTCGTATTGAACTTGCGATCCCCGGCCTCCTCGTCCGCCGATGAAAATCTCTTCCACCGGTGTCGGTCCTGCGCGGACCCATGATCCGTCGGAGGATGTTGCCAGTCCATCCTTCGCCGTCGGATACCCGGCCTTGTTCTTTCGCCTCCCGGGGAGTATTCCCTCGGGCTTGGGCGTTCTCACATCCTTCTGGTCCTTGACGCAGATGGGAGTCGGTGGAAACGGCATCCGGAACTGCTTGTCGATCTTCTTGAGGACGGCGATTGCCTCTTGCACCGGTTGATCTCCATACGTCATCGGAAGAGTCACCCTGCAGGAGGGGAATCGTCTGCAGCCCCAAAACTCTTCTTTGCTGAGTCGATTCGTTCTGGTTATCATTGGTATTCCACATTCCTCGCACACTGGGAACGGACTCGTGGTGTCCGGCATGTACTGGTCCAACGATTCCAATGGACGTCCATCGGCCGATCGAGATCGGTCACCACTCGCGAGGAGTACAGCTCCTTGAGACTCTCCAAGTCCAGCTTCTTCCAGTTGGGAGGCAACACTGACATGCGCTTCTTTGGCTTCAGAACCGCATACAACTCCCTTAGCCGGTCCACCGTATGCTGCTGGAGCTCCACCACCGGCACCTTGCTCCAGCAAGCCACTGCTTGCACATACTCCTCCTTGCGTTTCGGAGCAACCACCTGTGTCGGCATCATGGTTGCTGAAGGCTACCTCAGCACTGAGCGTGCTCGCTGATCGATCCAAGTCTTGCTGCGGAGTGTCGCATTCACGATCTGTGTCATCTCTTCTTTCTTGCGGCTCTCGGTATGAAGATGACATCAGTGTGTCGTGACTATTGAGCGCTCCGAGGTCCTGGAAGCCGTTCGTCTCCCAATAGGAAAACGAAGTCTCGCCAACGCTCTCCATGTTGACGTGTCGACCTGTTCAGCGTCACGAACTTTGTACACCGTGAGGCACCACCTTTCTCCAGTCCACTCATGTGTTGCGTGCGGGATATGAGGACTGAACTCAAAAGGTTTCTCGCGGGCGTTTACCAGCCGGCCGGGAATCCAATTCCCGCTGCTGTCCTGTTTCCACACTGTACCGGGTCGATCACTCGGTTCATTGTCGCCTAAAGCTAACTAAAGCTGTCCTTGTCGAAAGTCACCAAAGGTGACCGTCGTGGAGTTGGCCTGCTTGTCGTTGTGTACATCCCTATGTACCTCTGTAGCAACATCACGATGTAATGTAAACGAGCTCCAGTTCATGTCTGTCCTCGTCCTCATAAACATGTTGACGTACTTTACCATGCGCTGGAACTTCACTGTCCTTCTAGTCACTCCAACACGATTACCATGAGCCTAAAGTCCGACTGTCCACGGCACATTGCTGGGTCCTGGGCCGTCGTTGATTTGCCGATGTCGCTGTCTGCGTGCTTCATAGGAGAAGTCACGGACATCAATGAGCCGTTTAGCGATCATCTCACACTCCCATATCGCCTGCGATGTCGCTTTCCGAGGCCCACGCCGTGCTCCTCCAGCTTCGGTGTCGTCCTCGCCGTGGGTCATCATCACATCCTGGAGGGCGTACTGTTCAAACGGAGAGATGACTACTTCCTCCCCGTCACCCACAAGCGCTTGATCGGGACACATACATCTTCTCCTTGAGGGCTCGACGTTGATGTCGAATCCACACAAACCAGCGCTGGTCTCCCTGAGAGGAACATGTGTACCCAACTGCCCAAGTTGAATTCTGCCCTCCGCTAGGTCCAAGACGACTCCGAGCTTCTTCAGGGCCGCCTTGATGATCAAGAGGGGGACATCCTGCTGAACCACACTGACTCGGAGGTGAGCCCATCTTCGAGCACATGGAATAGTCACAGGGATAATGACACTATATGTGGACATCACCCTCGGTCCCGCTCCAAACCGGAAAGGCCTAGCTTCCTCGACCGCAAAAGTGTCCTCCTGAAGGCGATGCAGGTGCTTCATGTGACGCTGCATCCACTTCTCTCCAGCTACTGTCCTGGCGCAACAAGTGTCGGTGAGGGCCAAAGTGAACCTGTTCATCTCGAGAGGCTTTCCGCTAGGTATGTCACCAACCCACACCTCTTCATGAAGCAAAGGATCGCCCTCCTTGCGCTCGTCGGCGGTCGCTGCCATGTAGACATCGCTCGGCTGAGGGCCGAGGAGCTCATCCTGATCACTCTCGGAATCCGTCAGCTCTGCCTCTACGACGGCTAAGACTCTCTTATCCTTGGGCTTGTTCTGGCGATTGTACGGGCATTCTGGATCGCTGTGCCAATGACCGAACACTGTTTTACCATGCGATTTGCATGCTGAGCACGCCATCTTTGCCTTCATCTCTCGAATCCGTTTGTCGCGATCCTGCTGTGATTCAGTCTTCGCAAACCCTCTGGCTCGTTCAATTTGTGATCGCTTTCTAGCTGCTTGGGTAAGGAGAACCTCCAACTCTCCCTCGAGGCTTGCAGGATCATCATCGGCCTCTTCCACCGTGTCTTTCTCCTGGTCATCCACGCTTTCATCGGTTGTGGCATGAACCTGACGAGGCGTCTGGTTGGCTCGAGGCTTCCACTGACGATTCCCTGGGGGTGTATGCCTCGAAGTGAAGCCGTCCTCCTCCTTGTTGACTTTCGGCACGATTGCGAGGAGTGCGCGCCTGAGCTTGACGTAGTCATACTCGCCCCCGGATGCGGCGACGACGTATGCACGATTTAATCCTTCGACCTTGGCCCCCACCTCTTCAAGTCTCTTAAGGTGAGTTCTGAACTCCATGTCATATGCAAGGTACTCCATCCCAGGAGCCCGCTTGAACCCTTTGTAGAATTCAGTCAATGTAGTGAAGGTACGTACATACTCAAGAGGTTCCAATTCTTGCCAGAGATGCTTGAGGAGTCTTTCGACTCCATCCGGATGCTTGATGTACGAGAGGTCGAGGGATTCCGTGGCCATCCATGCCTGGCCCGGCAATCGCTCCATAAGCTTTTGTGCCCTGTACGATGCATCAATGCCCGTGCTGGCTTCAAACAACCGAACCCTGCATTGATATTCTCTCATGGGCGTGTCCCCGCTAAACTCCGGCACGTGATCCTTGCCGGTCTTGGGCACATCCTTCCTGGTCGTGCCGCTGCGGAGGTCGCTGTCGCGAGGGTCCTGCTCATCAGTCCCTTCTGGTTCTTGATCATCTGTACTCGCTGGTAGCTCGCTATCATCCTGTGGTGGTCGCTGCTGGTTTCCTGCCCAACCGGACCAAGAGTCACCCCAGTTGTCCCTACTCCAACCCGGCGCCCCTGATCGCTCCCAAGTGCCCGTCCACCAGGAGCCACCACTAGGCCAAACATTGCTACTCCAAGAAGTGCCTGGCCATGAATGCTGCTGAGCATTACCTGACCCTTCATGCCAATGCCATCCCTGCCAAGCCCAAGCCTGGCCTTGCCAAGCATCATTGCCAGAACCATCTGGCGCTGTCGCACCATCCGAAGGTGCTGACTGCAGAACGGCCGGCACATGCTTCCAAAGCGTGAACGCATCTTTTGCTGGCTAACCGAGAGCCGCGTGTGGCTGCGACATGTTGACATGTCATGCGTCTGTACAAGCAGTCCTAACAAAATGCAACGTGTTCACCGACATGTGACAGGTCAGGCCCTTACTGCACAGCTTTCACACAGACAGCGTTGCAAAAGCCTCGTCCAGGATGGGCTTGATCTCCTGCTCATTCGCCTGCCGGATAATTATGGAAGCCACGGCCTTGCTTCTACTACCGTGTCCAAGCAGCGCTAGAAATCCAAGAACCCGCTCGAGCCCCTCTCGCGCTCTCTCAATCCTCCAAATCCAGGTCATGCGGGATCATCTTGTCCGTCACGCTGGACTGCAGGTCGGGAGAGCTTAACGGCTGAGCATCTGAGAAGGGCTCAAGTGATATCTTCGAAGCCACTTCTAGCTCACTGCGCCTCCGGACATTCCATCTGGCAGAGGTGCTCCTTCCATCCCTCAGAAGAGGTGCTGCCACGACCAGCTCTCGCTACCGAGCCCGAGGCCGCGGCTGCAAAGGCCCGCCGGCTCTTGACTGCAACGAGCACCAATAGCAGCAGCACCACAACTAGAACCTCGGGACTTGCCGAACTCTCGCAATCTGGTTGGGGATACTTTGCGAATCCCATTAGAGATCACCAGCCACATCCAGCTTCTGTCAACTTGTCAGACGTTTTGTCCGTCTAAGACTAGCTCCACCCACCTCTCGCTCTCTTACGCCCTGCAACTGCTTCAAAAGTATCCTCATGCAGAGTATCGGAAAACAAAGTCGACAGGTGCCCCCGGAATTCAAGCAAGGCGCCAAAAGTGCCGGGGTCAGAGACTGAGCACCTCGCCGCAGGGTCAGGCAACCAGCAATAGCGGATAGCCCTTCCCTGAAGCTCGGCCTGCGAGCTGACCCTGGGAAGAAAGCTGTACGAGACGCTGTCTCAGGTGGCCCTCGCTGTCCTTGGCAACGGCATTTCATGCGAATACAGCACAGATGTAAGCTGTCCGAGATGAATCGCAACAAAGCTAGCAACAACCGAGGGCATGGCTACGTAGTACTTCTGATTGAAGCCAGTTTCCACCACTTTCTGCGGTGGAGATGAAAGCACAAGCTGAACCAAGTCTTGCAGGGTAGGTGAAACACAGACCCTTCACGGTCTTCGAGTAAATGCTTTGATTTCTGCACGATTATCCCGTGCCTGGACGATGTTGCCAAGCTCCTGCCTGGAATGCTACTGGCTCCGTCAGTCGGTGCACCAGTATAGTAGCCTGCAAACCTGATACACTACACGTCTGGGGGCTGAACCCGAATTTGACGCCAGAAGACGGGTCCTGATGGACACATGCCCAGAAAGGTTGCAAAGGTGTGTCTGGAGAGAATGACTGATCGGAAAGCGGCACCACAACTGTAGCCAGTTAAAATGCACATGTTGAAATTCGCGAACGGCGCCAATTTCCCACCCATTTTCCCCAACACTTTCTCCAACCGCATACCGCTTCATCCCCCGCACCCCCGGATCACCAAATTTTCTCAATGAGCATGCCAAGGCCGTATTTTCAACAAGGCAAACACTGCCCCCACGCGTCTAATTCTTCAGTTCCCAAATTTCAACGAGCATGACAACACAGTAACACAGCCCTCACCCAAAAATCGCACCATCTTCCCCTTAAAAACTCAACAGGTTTTGCCACCTTCTTCGCCAGCCCTTTCAGAACTACACCCCAAGAGCATTGCTCCACAACCTTTTCATCAAAACCGGCCACTCCCCCAGCAGCAATTATTGATCTACAGCCTAGCCCGGATTTACCACACGAAGATAGGCAGTGTCCGCCTCATGGAATATGCTACCTCCCGGACTCCACCCTAGGATAAAATCTGTCATAAGATCTCAACCCAATACTGTATCATTTCCGAGGAAGCGACTCAAAGAGTTAACACCTGAATACATTAGCAGGGAAATTGTATTGCACGAACCTGAGCACATACAAAATGCAAGCGAACACCATTCTAAAACAATGTACAGCCTGAAGAGAAACGAAATAGATTATAATCTTCAAGTTACCGAGTTGCGGATGTCAAAACAGGTGTATTTCAATATTTTCTTGAGGAAGATTGTGACAACAATTGGCAAGACACTCAAATCCTAGAAAACAAAAGTAAAGAAGTTCGGGATCGAATAAATCAATTCTCAAAGATTATTGCGCTCGTTGAAACTATTTGTAGCTCAGAATGCGATAATGATACTAAGCACTTAGAAGAAAACCTAACCACGCAAAGAACTGGAACAAAGTAAGCAGTCAGGAGATTCAAGCAGAGTACTGTCATGTCATCATTCCAAAATTAAAGTAATACTCAGTTGCTGTTCCCAACAAAGTAGTACCATGATGTAAAGATAATTGCTGATGAATCATGTCTACATTACAACTATAACATGAAGGATGACTCCAAGAAGCTAACGCGAATGTTTAACATTGAACCCCAAACGCTGGCTGAAATTCTACAAGACCTCCTTTGCGTCTAGTTTGGACTATGGCATCATGCGTAAAGCGTAGAAACTTTACCTAGGTAGATACGGGCATTGGGAATAAGATAGTTTCCTAAGGTTGTATTTTATCTGCTTGGGGTGGTGCCAATAGTCGGTAGCCCTCTGTCTCCCGCCCTCACTCGCCCAGCGTGTCCGTGACCAACTTCTGGTAGCCGCTCACCGTCTGAGCCATGTCCCTCATGGCCTTTCTGGATGTTAGATTTGCAGGTGGATCTCGCAAGTGAACTCCAGCCTCGGACTTGCCGAGTGGGTTTCTTGGCGGCGGAATCTTCAAGTTGAAGTCGACGCCTTTGCCCATGCCCTGGCACGAGGTCACATCCTCAATCGCTTAACGCAGCACCTCCTCTACTTCTGTTGCGGCCGACGTTTGCGGTTGGAGCCGCTAGATGTAGCGGCAACAGCAGCCAAGCTGCACCGAGTTTCGGCTGCAAGGAAAGTCGCTCTCATCGCGATGACAAGTCCCTTAGACGCTAGACATACACGTTCCACAAACTCGCCAGGAGATCGGCAACTGCATCCTTGATTGCTTGAATGTCGCCGGCGCCTGTCAGCCATGCACAACTTGCCGACAAGGAGATGTTTGCACAGACCAGGATTGAAGGCGAGGGATTGCTTTGCTTTGCACCAGGTCTCAAGCTCCACTAGACTTGCATGAACGACCAACGGTTCCAGACTTCCCGGATCTGACTCGTGTGGCTTGATGAAAGCTTCTGAAACAGCAGTGTGAAGACGACTCCTTCTGTGATCGTCTGGGCCCCGAACTAAGGTCGCACCTCAGCTGCATGTGTATAACAACGGCACAAAAACCTGAAACATGAAAAGAAAGATCCCACGCCTCAGATAACCAACCTTCATACACCTCGCTTGGTCAAGTGCTTGCCCTGTCCATAGGTCACAAAGCCACGACATTCCTCACACTATCTCAAAAACCATCTCAACACTCTTCTCAAGCAGACCTGCCTTTCTCCAACTGTGCAACTTCCTATGAATGCATGCTGTTACCCCTGCTTGTCTCTCTTACAGCAAGAAGGTTTCCCTGTGTTGATGCAAAATGCTTGAGAAGAGGCCACGAAAGCAAGGGCAAAAAGGGGAAGTCGACAGAGCTCGGGCAGCGTGGATGCAAGCACGCACGCAGTCCCATGCAGTTTAAGCTTGCAAGATGATAGAATTGTTCTGCTTTACAGTGGCCCACATAGAGATACACACTTGTCGTATCGTAGTGCCTTGGCCGATCTCATCGCCCGTCGGAGCGTCCCTGCGTAAGCAATAGCTCGGCCATCTACGAGCAGCTTCGATCTGTCCTGGTGAAAGCTTTTTTTGCTAATGACTGAGGGGTCAGACGTGAAACCTGCTAAGCAGATGCACTCGGTCGTGTAAGCACAAAATGCAAGCTGCCATGTTGCTTAAACTCTTAAACAGATGGACCACATCATTGTCAGTCTTCCTGTGCATTGACCAATGGATGCTATACTCGACATTGGTTCAAGGAACTTGAGCATTGGCTCAAGACCGGCACAAGTCGTGAGGGTTGGTCCACCGCTTATGGGGGCACCTTGGAATGCCGCCAGGTGTCAACAACATGATTATGAGTCTATGGACGCAGCAGCGGCGGTGGCTGCAGCTCTGCCAGCCGGCCACTCCTGAACCTGTTTGCGTTGACAGTAGTGTGCCGCAGGGTGACCCTTGGAGCATGCTCGCGATGTCCACGGTGCTCACAGTCCCACCCCTGGACCTGCAGTCGCGATTTGCCCGGGCCTGCTTTGCCCTCTACGTCGATGACAGGTCGTTCGTTGCCTCGTCGGCATCTGACTGTCTTGCCATTGCCCAGGCCTGGAGAGTCTGGAGTGATGCTTTAGGACTTGCGGAGAACCTGGGTAAGGACCAGTATCACCACAGAACGGTTGCTGGCCGCAGACAGCTGGTGAACGCTCCCCCTGACAAAGTCTTTGAGTCTCCCAAGATCCTGGGTTGCATGTTGAAGCCTGCTACGGGCCGGCGCTCGACTGGTGTTGAAAGCACGCGGCTTCAGACGGCGACTTGGGCCCTCAATAAAATCAGGTGCCTTCCTGTGCCGCTGGCCACCAAGGTGCTCCTCTGTGGGATGAGTGCCATGAGTAAGGCCACGTACGGCTGGGTCTGTCGCTTGCCGACGTTGCGTGAGAGTAGCTCGCTGGAGTGGAAGCTTGCGCGGGCGTGTCGTGTTGCGAGGCACAGTGACCCGAACCTTCGTCGTATCTTGCTAGGACACAACGCGTCGCTTCTTTATCGAACGGCAGCGTCTCAAGTTATCGCTTGCTATGATCGAGCCTCCAGGGGCTTGCAGATGCCTGACTGGTCTGCAGCTTGGGCCCGGGCAGTTAAGAAGGCGATGATGCGCTTAGGCTGCTGCCCTGGACCCAGTGAGTGGTCGTGGCGTCAGGGCCGTACGAGCGTAGTCTTGGACCGCCGCATTGGCTTAGTCCTCCGACCAAGGGTGCCATTGCGCACGCGCTGAGGGAAGCTTGGCGCAGACACCTCTTTGACACCTGGCAGGTCAGGACTCGAAGGGACAGTCGCCTCTGCAGAGGAGCCAGTTACCAGGAGGGCAAATGCAGGCTTGCTCGCCTAGCCGCCTTGCGTGACAGAAACACATTTGCCCTCGGTAGCGGCGTGGTCACCGGCAAGGCGTCATGCGAACGATGGTGGGGACATGTCATGCCCCTGGTGTGGTGCTAGTTTTGGCACGTGGGAACACTTAGCTTGGAGGTGCCCAGCTCATGTTCATTCGGTCACTCGGCCTAGGATGTGGCTGGAGGCTCGGCTCCGCCTCTTGAGTGAGGCAGGTGCTGAGGCATCCTAGTCCTAGTTAGCGCCTTGGCCTTAGACTGCAGAGGTGCTGCTGCTTCCTGCAGTGATCCTCTGATGCTTCCTGGCTTGGTCCCTGGTACTGAAGCCGTTGCGAGCCTAGCCTGATGCTTGGTCTGCATACATGCCGCTTGGCGGCAGGGTTAATGCCGTGCCGCTGGGCTGCAGGAGTTACCGTAGTGTGCCTTGGTTGCCGCTTGGTCAGCAAAGATGCCGCTTAGATGCTGAGTGGTTTTCTGTGGTGCCTCACAGTTTAGTGCTTCGTGCACTGGACTGCTGCTGGGTGTAACTCGGCTTGCAGAGACTTGGCTGCGTGGTACTACGTGGGCTGCATGGCCCTTGGTGTGGTGCTTCGTGCCCTACGTCAACCCTCTTCGGTGTGGTGCCCTCTTCGCACTACGCCGTCCTTCAGCCTGGTCTGGTGGTTGTCATCGTTGTCTTGTACTTCGTTGAGGGCTACTGCATCTGGCGAACTCTTTTACACACTCTAACCAATCTCCTTACTCTTAAATTGAGAGCCAACACAATCTCACTCATTCACTAAGTGCTCCAACGGAAGCATTCAGAGCAATGAAGCTGTTGATCTTCAATCACTGCGAATGACGTCAAAAACCAATGAATCAATCACTCGCTGACAAGGATGCGCCAACGGCTAATGAGCTGATACTCAAGCAATGACAGGCTGGAGTTCCACAATGATGTAGGACAAAAGCCGCAAGCAACTTGGTAACTGTCAAGCCAAGGAATTGAAACATACCCATATCATAACTCACATCAGCACCTAGTTGGAAAGTGACGCTCAATCGTTCGCTTGAATACCAATAGACGCGACCTGGAATGCGCAATGATCGCAGAAAAGCTGCTAAACGCTCAGGAATGAAGCATCGCAATGCAGTTGCATGATAGTTGCATGTCACTGCAGTAAATGACTTGAGAGCAGATCCGAGTGGAGCTCACTCGTGCTTAACGACCATGCTCTAATTCGAAGTGAAATACAACGACCCATCTTGGACAGTCCGTAGAAAGTCCTCTTTTGCATAGTGCATCCTGGAATTTCCTATAGTCAACGACAGACATCTAGGATCCATCAATGGAACGGTACCCACGGCAGACATCGGTCCGCACTCGAACTACGCCAACTGCTGTCAAGTGGTTCGCTTAAACACAGATTTCACAACCATGCAATGAAACAAGGGCGACTTGGAAGCTTCACATGTGTAGATGTTCATGTCCGGGTGCCATCCCGTTGAACAACTACTATGCAAATACAATACTTAATTCCCTCAATGCTTCAAACACACAGAAACGGCAATCATGCATGCAATGATGCCGTCCTGGAGATTTGCATCCCAACGTGCGTATCACGACGGTCTTGTGGGCCGGAAACAGCAGTATATGCAGTATGAGATTCGCAATTATTGCTTGCAATTTACAAATCAATAAAGATTGCGACGGAAGTGCCAATGCATGTGTTCTTGCCAGCTGATATACAGAGTGCTCTGATTTCGCAGATCTCAGTGGGGTTTGTACCACTGTCAAATGAAATTAAATAACGATAGTGCAATGAATTATCTGACTAAACAATGGAAGCCTGCTACGAGTGTTTCTGTGTGGAAATGCAGGACAGTAAAAGTTGCCTAAACTGTGCAATGTGTATAACATAGCGACACAGGTCATGCAATGTGCAAGACCAACGAGGTGTCACAGAGCGAACCAACAGGGGCTACCGATGAGGCTACCGAATAAGGCCACTGCTGATCCCATAACCAGTACCACATGCTACATCAATGCTACCTCACCGTCCAACGGCTCGACACAGTAGGACAGTGACGAACCAATACGGACGGAGCAGGTGACCCAATCGTGTGCCAATGACTCGTGTTAGCCCAAAGAAAGCAATCGAAGAAACAATGTGTACAGACCAAACCAAATACAATGTAGGCATTAAGGCATAGTCGCTGCCAAACCAAACAAACATCACAATGAATACTTGGAGCCCCTGTAACCTCCGAACCGAGAACAATCCAAAGAAGCCCAGAACGAAGTCCCCTAACGAAATCCGCGAAGTTAGTCCAAACGACAATTCACGCAGAAATGAAAGAAGTGAAAAAGAAGACCGTAAAGAAGAACGATCACAATGTCACCCAAGGTGAAAATCTTAAATGCTTCAGTGCAACATGACAATGAAACCACTGAGCCCAAGAACGCTGTCAAATACAGACAATGTAGAGCCCAGGTCAATGACCGAATAAAGCATCTCAGCACCAATGAGCATACTGAAGCAACGAACTTGTGCAATCATCCGAAATGCAAGGAATAAAACTCAATGCAGATCAAAATCGCAGAAACAAGTTCAACTTGTCAATGCGATGCTAGTTGCAAAACTGTCGAAAGCGAACAACACAGCCGCCCGAATACAACATTATGACCAGATATCTAGTGACAATGTCGAAT